ATAAATCATCTACATACTTACCTAAAACCATAAGAAATGAACATTCTTATGCAAATTAAAACCACAATGAAATATCATCTCACACTTGTAAGCATGGGTATCATTCATAAATCAACAAAGAAAAAGTGCTGGAGAGGATGCAGAGAAAAGGAAACCTAGTGCACTGTAGTTGGGAATGCTGTAGTTGGGAATGCTGTAGTTGGGAATGCTGTAGTTGGGGATGTAGTTGAGAATGGTGCAGCCACTGTGGAAAACAGTATGAAATTTCCTCAAGAAAACTAAAAATGGAACTAATTGGAGAGAAAATAGAGACAACTGTACTTGAACAATAATAAAAAAAGTTAAACAAACAAAAAGAAAGAAAACTGAAAATGGAACTGCTTTCTGACCCAGCGATCCCACTGCTGGGAATATACCCAAATAATCCTGTTACATTAATTCAAAAGAACTTATGCATCCCCATGTTTATAGCAACACTTTTTACAATAGCCAAGATTTGGAAACAGCCTAAGTGTCCACCAGTAGATGAGTGGGTTAAAAAAGAAAAAGCTGGTATGTTTACACAATGGAATACTATGCAACAGAAAGAATGAAGGAATTCCTAACTTTTGTGACAGCATGGATGGAACTGGAGACTATTATGCTAAGTGAAATATTCCAGTTGGTGAAAGACAAATACCATATGACCTCACTTATGAGACATCTAATTAACAGAATAAACTAATGAGCAAAATAGAACCAGAAGATAGATTCATGGAACAGACTGACAGCTGTAAGAGGGGAGGTTGAAGTGAGTACTAATTGAAAGAAGGTTAAGCATTAGTCAATGCACATTTATGAAGGACCCACGGACAAGGACAATGGTGAGGGGACTGATTATGGAATTGGAGGGTGGGCTGGGTGGAGGGGCCACAAAGGGGAAAAAGTGGGATGATTGTAATAGTGCAAACAATTAAATATTTTTAAAAAATAAAAATAAAGGCACATACCCTGGCTGGTATGGCTCAGTGGATTGAGTGCCAGCCTGTGAACCAAAAGATCGCAGGTTTGATTCCCAGTCAGAGTACAAGCCTGGGTTATGGGTCAGGTCCCCGGTTGGGGACATGTGAGAGAAAACCACACACTGATGTTTCTCTCCTGTTTCTCCCTCCCTTCCCCTCTCTCTAAAAAGAAATGAAAATTAAAAAATGATGAAGGGAAAGAAAGAAAGAGAGAGAGAGAGAGAGGGAGGAAGGGAGGGGGGAGGAAAGAAGAAAGAAAGAAAGAAAGAAAGAAAGAAAGAAAGAAAGAAAGAAAGAAAGAAAGAAAGAAAGAAAGAAAGAGAAAGAAAGAAAGAAAGAAAGAAAGGAAGAAAGAAAGCACTTCTTAATATACCCAAAAGCTCTTAGGCTCTCATTCCAATCTCTCCTCCAACTTGACCCCATGGATCAGTACTATTCTGAAATTTGTGCTTATCCATCATTTTTTTGCTTTATCATACACATGAAGTGTACAATTCTTAAATGTGAAGCTTGATGCTTTTATATCTATGTGTATGTGCATATAATCAGAACACAGATTATGACATAGAACATTGCTAGCACCCTAGAAAGCTTTATTGTACCCTTTCCAGTCATTATCAACTCAAATGCAAACAGTATACTTTCTTCTACTAAGCAGTGTTGCATGTTCTCAAAATAATATCAATGCAATCATACAGCATGTACTATTTTTATGTCTGCTTTCCTTCAAAATTATCATTATGAAACATATTTATGTCACTGCATGTGTCATTGCCCACATGTTGCTTTATCATTTTCTACAACTTGTCTATTGCTGCTCATGGGCATGGATGGCTTACCGTCTGGAGCTACTCGAATAAGTGTGCTACAGACATCTTTGTATATGTTTTATTGGTAAGTGAAGACACTCAGTTTTGTTGGATTTACACCTAAGAGTGGAGATTCTGTGTCACAGGGAAGGTGAATACTCATATTTAGCTTTAGTAGATAACATAGTTTTTGAAAATAGATGTATTAATTTAAATTTCAGCTAGAAATATGCATGAGTTCTGATTGCTCCACACTTTCTTCAAAACTTGTTCTTGTCATTTAAAAATTTTTTTTAGCCATCTGGTGGATTTGTAATGGTATATGTCATTGTGGCTTTAATTTGCATTTTTCTAAAGATTGCTGTGATTCTGAGCACATTTACATATGCTCATCATCCATCTGACTATCCTTGTATATGAAATGCCTATTTAAATCCTTTTTGCTTTCTTAAAATTAGGTGGTCTACATTTTACTTAATGATTTGTAGGAGTTCTTCATGTATTCTAGACACATGTATATATGGCAAATATCTTCATCCATTCTGTGAATTCTTTTAACATTTCTTCTTGATTCACAGGTCTATATCTAGATTTTCTTTTTTTCCATAGTATTCATCCTTTTTGTAGTCTTGTACTGAGAATTCAACTGATTGTGTATCCTCTCTGTTTTTGTTCATCTTAAAAGTCTTTTTTTAAAAAAATATTTAATTTGGATCACAGTTCTTGAGAGATTTTCCTCCAACAACCCGGCTTCCACCTGCTGCCTTGGCCTTGGCAGTCTGCTGTTTGCCCATTTGATACCTCAGTCCTATCTTTGTATCCTTCTTCTTGAATTTTACTACTATATGATATGCTGAAAAATTACTTTAAAAACTTTTAAGGCAGGCTATATTTTCTAAATCTGAGAATTAGTACTATTAATCAATTCTAAAAACTTCTTAGGTAACATCTTTGAATGTTGCCTCACCTGAGCCTTGCACCATTCTCAATTTCTCCCTCTCTAATTCTAATTAAATGAATATTATGCCTTCTTGAATTCATTTCAATGTGTTTTAACATCTCTTTTATATTTACATTGTCATGTCTTCTTTTGCATTCTGGGTGATAAAATAAAATCTACCATCTCATTCACTTTCTTTTCTGTTGTGCCTTAGCTTTAATAAGGGGTGGAAGAGAGAGAGCAAGCACTGTGCATAGCAAAAATTACTGGAGCCTTCAGATGCCCAGGTACTATGTGTTACGTACCCAACCATTGCACTGTTCTCAAGCAATGACCAGAAGATGTTGAGTGTGAATCACATCAGCATAAAGAAGCTACAGGGCCTAGGACCTCTCAGCTCAAGTACCTTGCTTGTCACTTAAAGAGGTGTGTATCTAGCTCTCATTATTTAGTATAGTTTCAGTACATTAATGATAGAATTGTGACAGGGTGCATGAAGTCCTTGGATTTACCCTTTCATAAATAGTGCATTTCCTGTTAGCAGAGGTCAAATATAAGTAGATTCTTCTGGGCCACCCTCATTTCCCACTGAGTCCACTGGTTACACAGACCCTACCAGTGGCCATTTGCATGTTTCTGAAGTTATAATCAAAATAGACATATGCACCATCTCTTGGAACCATAGAAATGTTTCATTGGTCAGTGGAGAAAGAGCTATTATAGTGAAAAGGCTGAGTTGAAATTACCTTCACTTACTTCTGGCCTATGTAGTAAACATAAAACACTATTATATCCCAGGTATATTGGCAGAAATTAGTGCCACCCTCAAAGATTTAAGAAAATACATAGTACGATAGATATAATCAATAGTTAAGGAGTAAAAATAAAATGGGAATGGAGAAAGGAAGAACCAGGTGGGGTAGAGGGTACAGTTTGTGGCAGTGTGGTCAGAAGGAAGTGAGGGAGGGACCTGGTGGATATATGAGCAGAAACATTTCTGGGTCAGGAGAAAGCAAATGTGCTGGCATGTGTGTGAGCAATGGGGAGGCCAGCATGGCTTGTGCACAGTGAGTAGAAGGAGAAGAGGCCAGAGAGACGGCAGGAATAAATTATGTTGGGCTTTATAGATCATTTTAGGAATTTTGGCTTTTACTCTATTGAGGTAAGAAGCAACTGTAGTGTTGAATAATACAATATGTTTTTTTTAAAGATTTTATTTATTTATTTTTAGAGAGGGAAGGGAGGGAGAGAGAGAGAGAGAGAGAGACAGAGAGAGAGAGAGAGAGAGAGAGAGAGAGAGAGAGAGAGAAACATCAATGTGCGGTTGCTGGGGGTTATGGCCTGCAACCCAGGCATGTACCCTGGCTGGGAATCGAACCTGGGACACTTTGGTTCCCAGCCTGCGCTCAATCCACTGAGCTACACCAGCCAGGGCACAATATGTTTAATGAGATCATTCTGGCTACTGTAATAAGAATAGATTGGTAGCAAAAGCAGGAATGGAGCATGGTTACAGGGTGAGTGCAATAATCCAAGAAGAGATGATTGAAGCTCAGCCCACAGTGGGAGAAGTGGAAGCAATAAGATGTGGTAAATTGGTGGAAATATTTTGATGGTAAAATAAAAAGAATGCTTTAATTCTGTTAGGTTCAATTTTGTATCGCAGCCTATTGAGATACGCTTGGATCCTAATTTTGACTCTTCCTTGCCACAAGTTTTAAATGGTAATGGAAAAAATACAATAAAATAAAAAAATAAAAGCAATGAAAAAATAATATATAGCTTTTTCCTTTTAGAAATAATTTGTATTTTAATATTTTTGGTAAGCAACTAGATATCTCACTAATGTTGGCTTTGCTCTTAAAACAGACATTTTAAAAAAATCAAGTGCAGGTTATATAAACAAGACATCTCAAGAAGAATGTCTTTTCCATTTTTTCATTTCTCACTCCACGTCCATCCCTTTCCCTTGACTGCTTGACTGGTACAGCATTAATAACTCGTAGCCTTGGCGACTTCCTATGCAGCCTGACCATGATGTGAAATTTGGTCATTGTGTTCAACACTGCAGGTCCCTGGTTTGGAATGGGTAGGGGTGGAGAGGATGTCTCTCTTTCTGGCTTATTTAAAATAGGCAGCCTCCTTCTTAGTAGTAAAGAATTGATTTTAGTTAAAGAATATTTTAACTTATTATAAAATGATAGTTGTGTCACAGCTAAACATGACAGGGAACACACACACACGCATGAATTAAAATGAGAAAATTTATTTTCAACCTCCCCAAATCTTCCATCAATGAGCATAAGGTTAATAAACCTTATTAACACTTTTCAATATCAAAGAACTGAAAGCCCAGTACACAGGAAAATTTATATTAAATTAGAAATGTTATGTATGATTTCCACTGGAAAGCCCTTCATGATGTAAAACCAAACTAAGAGGGACAGTCTCTTGATTTTTCTAATCAAAGAATTGTACTTACTAAATGGACAGATTTAATTGTTCTCATATCCCAACTGTTCTGAAAAATCACAACTAAGTACCCATTATTATTTAAAAATAAAACATGAGCTGGCCAAGGTTGTTCAGTTGAGAAAGGCCTCTCTGTGCGTTGCAGTAACCACTCGTGGGGGCATCAGATGAAAAGATCTTTTTCTTAGAGGCTGAAACAAGCAAGATGTTGTTCTCAGAGGCCATCCCAGAAATTTTCAGAAATTTTAATTAGTACTGTTACCACACCAAATTGATAAACAATCTTTTGGATATTGTAAATCAGAATTCACTTTCACTTAAAAGATAAGGGAAAGTAAGCTGAATCAGAGCAGTTATGTGCCACTTAACAGTGGAGCTGCATTCTGAGAAATGCACCATTAGGAAATTTCATCACTGTGCAAACCCCAGAGTGCACTTACAAAACCCTCGATGGTATGGCTTGCCATACGCCTTGGCTCTGTGGTACAGTGTTCTGAACCTGTACAGCATGTTACTGTACTGAATACTGACAGCTGTAACACAATGGAAAGTATTTGTATATTTAAACATATTCCAAACATGGAAAAGGTACAGTAAAATACAGTATAAAACAAGAAATGGTATACCTGTACAGGACATTCATCATGAATGGAGCTTACTGGACTACAAGTTGCTGTGGGGGAGTCGGGGAGTGACTGAGGAGTGAGCAAGAAGGCCCAGGACATTACCGTCTAATACCAGACAGTTTATAAACACTGTCCACTTAGTCTACACTAAATTCATAGAACAGATTTTTCTTTCTTCAGTAATGAATTAACCTTAGCTTACTGTAACTTCTTTTTTACTATATGTAGTTTTTAATTTTTGAACTCTTCAATTCCTTTATAATAACATTTAGCTTAACACACAGGCATATTTTACTGCTGTACAAAAATACTTTTTTCTTTATAGTCTTATTCTATAAGCCTTTTTCATAATTAAAAATTTTTTTTGTTACAAACTAAGGTACAAACACACAGTAGCCCAGGCCTGGACAGGGTGAGGATCATCAACACCACCCTCTTCCACTTTCCCCCTTCTGTACCCATAGAGCTGTCAACTCCTGGGAGGGCAGCGCCTTCTTCTGGAACACCTCCTGAAGGACCTGCCTGAGGCTCTCCTGGAGGAGGTGCCGCTCTTTTCAGAAATGTGTCCATGATGGTTCGCTTGGCTCCTTTGTGTTTTTCATCACAGATTTGCTCGTAAATAGTTAATGTACCGTGATTATCTTTTGGTATCGGGGGTCCCTGTTGTCAAACATTTTGAGGAATTTGGGGAGGTGTGAAAAAGCTTCTGCTAAATGCTCCACTCATTTTCCTCAGGGGTTCTTCTTCTCTTTCTTGTCCCGCGTTTTCCTTTTCTCTTGCCTAGTCTTCAACTAGTTGCAACAACTCACAAATCAGTTGCTGAGGAACAACCTCTGAGAGCGCCTCCAAGTCATCCTCGCCCACACTCAGGTTAAGGTTGTGTGCCATCTCATCCACAGACTTGTTGCTTTTTTGCAACCTTCGTGCAACAATGTTATGATGGCCATGACGTCCCTAGGCAATGGAAGTTTTTCAGCCCCATTATAAACTTATGGAACCACCATTGTATATGGGGTCCATCATTGTCCGAAACATTGTTAAGGGGTACCTGACGGCAATATAAACATTGTGTAAAAGATCTCTAACCGTAATTTTCTTTTTCTGTTGAAAAATTGACTCATTTGTTGTCATCAGAAACTCTTTGGTACTAACCCAATGAATAATTTCTGTACATAAAATAATGATGAGATAGAAAAAGTAACTTTTGTAAAGAGTATAACATGTGAACAAAACCAAGGACTTACATTAACTTCATATATAACTCCGATATAACTTCAATGAGAAATTTCTCTGTCTCTTCATTTTGTTAGATGCAAAATAATATTATCTTTATATATTTAATACATGACAATACATAAATAAAATGGTTTCCCTACAATCCTAATAAACATCAACCTAAAGGGTTATCTAACATACATCACATAAAATAATAAGGTATATTATCAGCACTTTGCTGATATTGCAATCATGAATTCTGGTTGTTAGAAAATAGGGACGAAAGTTGTGGAAAAATCACTGTGACTCACCAAGGCTTGAGCGGTTAAAGCCTCAAACACACTTATTTACAGAGTATTTCCAAAACAAACTAAAAACATGAAGTAAAACTCATTTTTACAGTTCTAAGAGAATGAGATAAGAAGCCTGGGTATTTTAAATCACTCTCAGATATAATTTTTTTAGAGTTAATTTTAAAGGGAATGATTTTAACACCAGAAAAATGGCAAAAGCAACTGTGAAAATAGAAGTAAATACTTGGTGAGCTGTCATCCTACTTCATGCTGGTTTTACTCAGAAACTGAAAGTCAAATTATTTTTCAGTTGCTTAATAATTGTTAGTGGAATTAACCACAAAAAATGTGCACATTCAATAAATATGTCCTAGTAACAATGAAACCATGCATAAAGATTTTGGTACAACAGGGTAGATTATATGAATTCTTTACATAGGTCTCTTCTTTGTTTTATCTCTTAAAACTTTTAAAGTTGTTTTGTTCTTTGCATGGGTAAGTCAAGTTTCTTGGGAAGGCCATTGGGAAGTAGTTGTTTTTCAGCCAGAAAGCTATGCTTACTTTTCCATTGAAACATTTGTTTTCATTACCAGTGGCTTCAGTCAAATCTTGTTATTTTTGATGTTTTTCATTTTTGAAGATTTCTATAAGTAAAGGAAAAATAAGAGGGATCCATCAGAAATATGTATTGGAAATAGCCAGGAAGAAAACTATTTGCTTTCAAATACTGTTTACAGGACACTCTCATGCATATATTTGAGAACTAATTGGGATACAAACAAGAAGAGTCAAAAAAGTAAGAAATGTAAACTCTTTAGCTACAAAGTAAATATTTTTATGAGCTGGGAGACAATACCTTAAATTTGTAAAGTGTTTTTTCATTTACAAAGTGCTTTCCTTTGCATTTTTAGTTTGTCCTCATAAAAACAATACAATGTAGGTCATGTAAGGTAAAAAACTGAATCTACACTGAAGTTAAGAGACTTGCTTCACAAAGAGACAGAAACTAGTTGTGCTCTAACGTAAACATCTGGTTGCAGACCCACCACTCTGGCTGTGGCATGGTGCCCATAAAACAGAGCCCAAACCTCGTGGAGTTCTGAAGACCACAGAGGAGAAAAAGGTTATCTACAAATGTTAAATTGGAGAAAAGGCAACAGGTCTCAAGTTCAAGCTGCATGATCTAAAGCTCCTGATTAACATATACACAGATTTGACTTCAACACAGCATCATATTCATACTCAAGTAAAGAAAGCTATATTGCAAAGAGGAATTCTGTTTGTGTTCAGGCAAGACACTTCCTTCTTCTCCAATATGGTCTTGTGTACCCTGGGTGGGAGGACAGGCAAAAAACCCTACTAGCATGTAATAGTCAAAAGGTAGAGAAACCAGTCACCCTCTGAGGCTCTTGCCCAAGTGCTCATTAACCTATGGCTTCCTCCCTCCATTCCTTCCTTCCCCACTTTTCTCTTCATATCATCCGTCCTTCTTTTTTCCTTCCTTTCTCCTTCTCTCACTCTCTCTTCTCTCCTTCGTTTCTGCTTTCCTTCTCCTCTTCCCTCTCTTCCTTTCTCCCTCCCTCACTTTCCTTCCTCTCCTTCCCTTTTTCCTTCTTTTTTTTCTGCTAAATACCAACTCTACAATCTTAAGGACATTATCTAACATTCATGTGTCTCATTTCCTCATCTTTAAAAAAAGAGGGGGGAGGTATGATACTGCCTATTTTATACAATGTCTATGTGCCTATTAGGAGAAAGATTAAATGAGTAATTAAATGTAAAATGTTTTATATTTTACAGAGAGGAATTTTATCGTCTCACCAGCTGCTAGTTATTTTTATATGTGTGAAATAGAAAGACAAAATACACAGTTTTGTGACCTCTGAGGAGCTCACAGACTAATTGGTAAAGTTTTAAGAAAAGAGATGTCAAGGCAGAAAGAAATGGGATTTCTCCACACATCATATTAACTCCCTGAGCAACCTGAATTTATTTTCTTCTGTCAACATCTCACTGTTAGCTTGGGTGAAGGGCTGAGGGCTAGGGGCAGAGTGAGGAGAGTCAGTGGCCCGACGAGAGAAAGACGGCCTGGATTCCATACTCCTGTTGATTTCATTCCCTCCCCTCATCATCCACTACCCCCAGTTGCTGCCCTCAGATATTTTGGTCTTCCTTATATCACAATCAGCAATGAAGCTGCTCACTCCAGTATATGCATTATAGATAAAAGAACACAGGGTTTTTAGGCAGTATGCCCAGATTTTATTCCCACCAGTATCACTGGCTATCTTTGTGACTTTATTTGTAAAAAGGGATAACAACAGTATTTCTCCCTACAATGTTGCTTTTTGGGGGGAGATCAGGGCTTGAGGGCAAATGGAATAGATATACTGTAGTATAGAAAGCAGAATCTGCAGCCCTAGGTATGATTTCTTGTTCTAAGACTTACTGGCTGTGTGTCTTGAGGAATCTCTGAATTCCATTTCCTTATCAGTGGAGTTTTGATAGTAATAACTGAATCACAGAGTTGAAGAAATATTAAATGAAATAATAGACCTGCAAGTGCTTTGTAAAATGTTCAGTGCTACAGAGATATTACCTTCTATTAACATGTTTTATTCACGTAAAACTATTATAAGCCCATAGTTTGAAAGTTCAATCTGTCATCTTGACAGTTATTAGTCTCACTGTCCCTTGTCAATAAACTGATTTAAGATAGTACATAGTTAAGCAGAAAAATGGGAGATGAGAGAATTAGAATAATTAGATTATCTCAACATAAAATAATAGGATTTTTTTAAACCGAGGAAGGGTTTTATTTATTTTTTGCTAAACTCTTTTACAGATAGCCAACCTAAGGTTGCAATTGCCAAATGAGTATAGTTCTGGCATGAATATTGGTTATTTTGTTACAGTAACAAATGACTTGCTCATTATAATACTAGAAGAATTTTTTCTCTTTTTTGTGCTATTCAAAATGTAACAGCTATGATACAATGTCCTTGTAGGTTTAAGAATCATTATTAATATTTTCTCCATCACTTTAAGTCTAAATAGCAACAACAACAACAACAAAAAGCCAAGCTCTGAAAAGTAGCCTTTGCTAATTTCTGTAATATAAATACTAACACCATTTCAGGTTATCAATATGAAGTTACTACACAACTGCTTGACAATTAGTAAGCACTAACAAATGTTATATCATTGCTTGTCTTCATATGAGGCTAGAAACTTTCCAACTTCATGGGATTTTTCATTTCATTTTGTTTTGTTTTGTTTCTCAGGGCCTCTGGTAGGGGTCAGAGGAGTGGATGTGGGATAGACGCTCATCTCTAAAATGTTCCCAGACACTCTCAGACCCTCCTACCAGACCCGGCTGGGAAAAACACTGTCTAGCGCAGGTGAGGGTGGCAGTGAGGTCTTGGTGAGGAAGGGAGGATTGGAATAGCAGTGTGTTAAAGCTGGCTCATAGTGACTTACAAGAGCCAACTGATACATTTTCAGGAATTTTGTGAACTGGTTGTTAAAAAACATAGCCATTATTAAAAATTAATTTACTTAGATTTATAGTTAAAAGGATTACATCACATAAAAGTAATACACACTAAAACATCACATCTTAATTAGTTTACATTTTAAAAATTATCTATGTTTTTGAGATTATGTCTACTTTACCTATATGGTGAAAATACTACATAATGGTATAGTGTTGAAAATATTCAGAAAGGGGTCTTACATGTATACTCCTGGCAATTGTTTTTGAGCACAGAAATTGTTCAGTAGGTGTCGTATGTTACAGATGGCCTAAGGGAGATAGGCAATTCCAGTAGACCTTCAGATAAGGTGGTTATAGAAGGTGTCATGTGACTATGAAAATATCTGAAAGAGGCAAAGCTGAAAGCCATGTAGATTTCTGGAGGGAAGATTATGGCAATTAGGGAAAACAGCCTGTGTAAGCATTGAGGATGGAATAGCCCTAGAGTTTCTGAGGAACTGTTAGGAGGCCAATATAGCTAGAATCATAAGGATGGGGGGAAGTAGAAAGACCACCAGAGGACTTTGAGGAAAGGAGTTCCATAATCTGACTAAGGTTTTAACACAATCACTCTGGCTCTTGTATTGAGAATGGACAGTATTGAGCAAGGACAGAAGCAGAGAGACTAGACAGGAAGCCAATACAAGGATCCAGATAAGAAACAATGATGGCTTGGCCTAGATTGGTAACAATGACCGTGGTTTACAAATGATCATATTCTAGATACTGTTTAAAGAAAAAGCTAATAGAACTTGTTGATGTGGCAGTTATGGTGAGTGAGAAGAAAAGAAGGGCTGCTCACAAGTCTTCTATTGCATTATTTTTAAATGTGTGGTCCGGAGTAGCCCTGTACCATAACCATCCAAGAAACATGTTGTAATCAATTCCCAGTTCCTACCTTAGAGCTTCTGAATCAGATTCTCTAGAGCAGAGGATAGAAAAACTTTACTCTGAAGCACCAAGTGATAACTATGTTAGTCTTTGCATCTGGTCTCTCAGAACTACTCAGCTCTGCTGATAGAGCACAGAGGCAGCCACAGACAATGTGTAAATGAATGAACATGGCTGAGTTCCACTAAAACTTTACATACACATTGAAATTTGAATTACATGCAATTTTCACATGTCAAAATATTTTAATTGCTTCTAATTTTTTCCAACCATTTAAAAAAATTTTAAAAATCTTGTTTTATGGGCTGTACACAAGTAGGTAATCGGACAGATTTGATCTACTGCCAAAGTTTGTCAACCCTGTTCTAGAGAGCAGATCCCAAGATTAAATAAGTATTTTTAACAAAACTAAAAAATGACTTTTTATGTTCAAGAATTTAGAGAGACATTGAGATAAGTTTTGAAAGTGACTGTCATGTGTTCCTTCTTGCTTTGTTTAGTTCACGGGTCAGAGTAAAGATGGGCATCTTGAATAAAATAAGAACTGGAATTGGTTTGGGAAAACAAATAAAAGAAACATTTTCTCCTGCCAACAAAAGAAAATGGTGAGAAGAAAGGGGAAAATAATAAGATGAAAAATTATTCATGAGAAAAATGAAGGAATCAGGGGGAAGTTCCAAAGCTTATTATTTAGCAGTACCTTTCATATTTAAAAAAATTTCACTTACCATTAAAAAAGGGAAATCGATGACTTGTACTTGACTCCATAAAAGTCAAAGACAGAGGTCATCATATAAATCTAGGCCCTTGTTCCACTGAAGTTAAGATACTGTCAATGATCCTAAGAAAATCACTATTTGGTTATGCAAAAGAACACTGCCTATCACAAGTTGTACGTCACACACGTAGCTCATCTCTGCTTGTCGCAGCCTGTGTTAGGTCTCAGTTGTTATGGTTTACGCCACGGCATCTCTTCTTTTTTTAAATTTTATTTTATCATCTAATGCTTCAGTTGTTCTTTCTAGTGTTAACCAACAATCATAAAATAACACTGGGAAAATAAGGAAAAGTTAACTCACTTAAATGAACTTATTAATCATAATCATGTTACTGAAACAATGATCTTTCTGGTTTTAAAATAATTGATTTTGTTCCTTCAACTAGTAATTTTCAACCTTATCTCTACTTTGCCATTATGCTCTTGCCTTCTTTGTCTCA